CTGCATGTTCCAACCAGATGGTGAAGCTTACAGATGTTCTGTAGGAAGAACTTACAACTTATTGTACATAAGAGAAATCTACAGGGCAGCTACATTTCAGCCTTGTTACCAGGCCAAGTTATTAATAGAATAGGGCTCCAATCATTTTAAAATTGAATACAAGTACACTTACAGAAGCTGAAATATGCTCACTGAAAGGCATGCAGGCATCCTTGTGGTTGTCATATGATAAAATACAATGGCAGCAAACATGCCCTTACCAGTTGCTTTTACTGTAACTTTCCTCACAACAACGTCATTCTTCATTTTCATCAGCACTATAAATCAGTGGAGTAGCACCACCGGTAGCAAAAGCAGCAACCAATATGACCTTTACTTAAATTATAGCAAGACCCAAGAACACAAACGTCATATTCTTCAGCTTACAAATCCTTAGTTGTGGCAGCTGCATTCGTTTTCATTTTTAAGCTTAAGACATTTTCTGCAGAAACTGTGTCTTCTTGTAGCTTTCTGTGTTTGAACTGACTTCTCCAAAACTGTTATCAGCTTTCTCATTTATTTTTGAACTACAAAACAAACTCCACTTTTTGTAATGGCGATGAAGTGAGGAGGAGGAGTTTTTTAGTCCAAACCAGAAGAACAGCCTAGGGAGACATGTCAAAAAAGAGAATGTGGCACAAGCTAATCAGGGCAGAGGGCTTCCCAGAGACTCTCAAGTGACAATCCTTCCATTAACCTGAACACTTAATCTTTAAAACAAACCATTAATACATAGCCTAGACCCTAATACAGTACATAACCCTTAAAATAATCCCCTAACCCAGTTTTTTTAAGAGGTGACCCTAGCTGTTCATTTTAACATACAACCTAAATCTGTTCTGAGATAACTATGCTGGATGCTATTGCTGACCCCTTTTCCCATTATACTTATCCAAAATTTCTCTGCATACCCTCTTTGGGTCGAAGTCACTTGTATTTAGTCCAGTTAGTCAGGTAGCTAGCATTTCAGAAGAAAAACAGTAATGACAGCCAACAGATTTTGGCACAGGTTTCCTTTAAAGAGTATCATTCTTTCACTCATTAAATCACAAAGCTACCTAAAACAGTACCAGTTTTCATTGCCAAAAAGGGACTGTTCCTTTAAAAAATAAACTTCATCAAAGGCAGAAATATTATCAGAGGGAAGCTTTTTTGTACATACAGTATGTGCATATGTATTGTGTATGATCACCCATTTATATTAAGTGGCAAAAAAATTGGTCCGCTGAAACATTTCCGTTCAACATTAATTTTTCTGGCAAAATTCAGACCTAATCTTTCTAAAATTATTCTTAAAGTAACCATACAAACATGTTATTGATAGTCCATTCACACACACTATAAAATTCACTTGAAAGCTCATAATAAATTTTCGGTTGCTCCAAAAATAACTATTCGATTTAGGCTCCATTCACACTCATCCAAATTTCCATACCATTTTAGACACCCAAAGTCACAGGACATGTAAAATACAACTGTTTTAAATTAAGTCCATTTTAATTGATCCTACTGAAGTCGCTAGGACTTCAGAAAAGGTTCCTGCACTACTTTGAAACGGCTTCAGTGCCAGAGAGTGTAAAAGTTGTATCAAAGTCGGGATCCAAAGACACACTGAAAATGGCGCAACCTTGGAGTCTAAAGGACTGCGCTCTTGTAGATTCAATCTTTATCTCAAAAGAATATTTCTATCAAATAATCTTGTGCATACATGTATGACTACCTTTAGATGAACAAAGGTTTCATTCCAAGTAGCTCATTTTTTCAGACTGCTCTTTTCTGTTTCTGGAGACTCTAAAATTAGAAAGATATACAATCCAATGTTTAACCTTAATTATTCTAATTCTGTTCATTAATCTTAATAAAAACCTAAACATTTTATATATCCTAACACAGCTGTGATGTTTGCTTCCAAATTAGAAAAATATTAAATTGCTACCTGTTTGAAATGAAAAATGCATCATGCAGAGGTTATGAATCCTGTGGGAAGTTTTATCTACGACATCTACGATCTCTGATGCTCATACTGACTAAATCTCTTTTACATAGAAGATATGGATTGTAAGCTCCAAGGATCAGGCCCACCTTTCCCTCTTGTACTGAACTGTATTGTTGCTGTATTGTCTCCCGTTCTATTGTAAAGCGCTGAGCAAACTGTTGGTGCTATATAAATCCTGTATAATAATATTAATAATGAGAAATAAAAGTTGTAAAAATGGCTAAAAAATAGCAGATATATATTTAAACAATAGCAGGGGGATCTCTTGTAATGAATCAGCATTCCCTAGTTACATTAAACGAGAGTATTAAAAATGATGCCTTGGTACAGATCTCCTCTTTGCTATCTATAATGATGATGCAAAATAGTAGAGGTGGGCACATACAGCTTAACTTCGACTGACCTCCAGTGATCTTAGAGCAGGGTGGGCAAATTATCCCAGGTATGTGGTTTAGGACATCAAATTTTTTTTTATAATATCTGCACTACTAGTTTTAGAAATAAAGACAAAATTATACATTGTTAGGATAAATAGATCTAAACAATGTTTCCATTAAAATAAATAAAAACACTAATTTCCATTAAGAGGTGAAGTATCATAGGAACCTTAGAATTGTGTGTTGGATGTAGGATGCACTAAGGTAAAGGAACCTTCTGCCTTTAGAACCACTTTAAGCTCCTTGACCATGCTACAATATCACTCCTTCACCTTTCTATGCTATTCTTAATTTGGACAAACAAGTGTTTAGTAGAAACATATTTTTAAAATTAAAAAAAACCTAAAAGTCACAGTTACCCTTGAAACAGTTTTATGGTCCCCATTGAACATTGCTGATGTAGGTTTTTGCCTACTGATCAGCACAAATCTGTATAAAGACATTAGTTGCCTCCCAACATAACTCATTAAAAAGCATATAGACAGAGCATAGGGTAGAACAAGACCAGACTGCTCTTGTTTGTCTTTCTCCGGGACTGTTCTTTAAATTTAGGTATGGTACATTAGGTGAGCCTGTTTGTTTGTGCTTTACATGATGAGTGAGTACTATATATGCATGGTGAACTTTAGATATGCATTAGTTTAAATATGATTTGCCTTTATTTCATGCTTTTTTTATATTTTATTATAAAATGACTGCATTTTAATCTAATTGGTCTTTTCAGTCTTTGAATGTTGACAATAGCTGGCAAGAGACAGACAAATTGACTATTTAATTCAATATAGCAATGCAAACAGTAGTAAGGACATAGAAAGCTCAGTAATCTACAGCAACCAATCATATTTATGTTTACTGCAGTTATAGTAATTAAGAGATGTTTTTCTTTTTGTTCATTTAAGTATTGATATTAGCCAAAAATAAAAGACAGAATGACAGTCGTAGAATCAACATGCCATATTGCTTTATTAAAAAGACATACAATTTTATTCTAGAAATGACTGCCCTTACTCCATACTATTGCAATAACCTCCAGATTTCCCTTTTGGCATATGAGCATTAAAAGCCAACAAGTTTGGTCATTAGGGATCATATAGCTTACTGTGTATAAATGGCACAATTTGCAGTCAACAAGACTCAGGACTGCAGTTCAAACTTCAGCTGGCCAGCTCTTTCTGCAAGGGTAAAAACAATATGATGAAGAAAAAACTAAATAAAATTGTAGAGATCTGCAGAAAGCCCACAAACCCTAGTTCCAGATTAACACAGCTGCGCTCATCACTTCTAGGTCACTTTCAACACAGGCCTTTGTGGATTAACAGGCAGCAGCCTGATCTCCTGAGAACTAGAGTTACTAGATACATGGTTTGATCTCATGTTCTGAACAAGATCACTTGCCACCATGAGACCCACCACGTTCAGTGTGTATTCTGTAGTGACCTCGTGTTTAAACTGTCACATTAGGGAACATTAGTATGAACTGCTTTCATAAGTATCACTCTAGGGATTGTGTAGCCTTCACAATGAAGGTCATAGAGTATGTTGATTTTCTCGAGCACTTATCCTTACTTGCCTGTTTTGTTTAAAGCGAAACTAAAGGCTGAAAACATGCAGGTTCTTTATTGCAGAAGAGACATGCAATTTTTTCCAATAAAAAAAAAAACCCTTACCTGCCTGTTCAGCACATGCTCAGGAGTGTCGTAATCCTGCATCAGCCTATCAAGATGGTCAAAGACCAGCACCTGGGGGGGGGGGTTATGCAGACACTGGTGAGGGAGCTTACACAATGCTCTAGGCCCTCCCTAACACACCCCCCCCCCCCCCCCCCCCACACACACACACACACACACACACTGGTGTCCTCTGCCCCCTTCACATCACCCTGCCGCTGGATGGATGGCAGTAGCAAGAGCTGCTGGAGCTAACGTTTCTTATTAACAAGCTGGCGATTGGTTGCTAGGATCACCCTGCACCCTAGCAACCAATCACCTGCTGGTTAACTTGACAAGTTAACTCTCGCAGCTCCTGTTCTAACCCTCCGTCCATAGCTGTCCTGCCTCCTACTCTTCCCTATGAGAATGACAGCAGCGGCAGAGGCTGGGGGGAAGAAAAGAACTCCGGCAATCCAGATGGGACAGTGACTTGGTCCCAATCTGGACCACTGTCTGCTATTTTTTGATGCCTGCTCTAAAGAGTATCTACCAGCTCACAAGTGTGAACTCAAAAACTGACCATTAAACCCCTATACACACCTGAGTGTTTTGCTGCACGATTCCCAAGATGAAGAATCTCAATGGGCCTGACAGTGTTGTGTTCCTTCTCGCCTGCAGCTGGAAAACGTGCATGAGCTTCATTGGGGCAAAATTACCCCATAGACTTTAATGGGGAACACCTGGAAAACTTATAAAAACACGTTTATGCATGTATTTCAGGTTCCCAGTCTATGGGGCCACGATCAAGTGTGAATGGGGTCTTAAAGCCCAGGGGTCTTAGGCTTCATTCATATGGACATACAAATTTTACTGATCTTAAAGTGTTACTAAACCCACAGCAGTAAAATCAGTCTGTATATGCAGTAAAGCATGCTTGTTATACTCACTGTGGAACCTAAGGGGTTAATCCTCTGCATAGTGTAAAAAGGCTGTTTGATTCTGACTTCTTTGCCCCTCCTCTTGCTCAAATGTCCACGCTGATAAGACAGACTGAACCCAAAGCCTTCTGCACATGCTCAATTTAGTGTGTATTGCTAGAGAGGTTTTTTTTATTTTTTCTTGGGAGAGTGCATGTGATCAGCACAGGGCCAATCAGCACTGTCCAGACAGAGGTCAGAGGTTTTGCATCCTTCTAGAGCAGAATGAAAACTCCTATAAGCTTTAACCAGTGCTCTGCTGAAGTTACAAGACTGCTCTAACTGCTGATGAGAAAAGGTATTTAGCAGTTTATATTTACTAAAATAATTGCATTTCCATGTTCTGTGTAATTCCAATTAGTATATACTGCAAGCAGAAAATCAGCAATGGTTTGGTCGTTTTGTTTCTGCAATTGATTATATTGAAAGCAAAAATAAAGCTTTGCCTCCATAATTCTTTGAGAGCTTACCTACAGTTAGGTCCATATACATTTGGACACATGCAAAATTTTAGATTTTCTCAGGTATTTACCAAAACATAATCAAGCTGTAGTTCTATAATGGATATGGGCTGAAAGTGCACACCACTCTCAGGTTTAATTTAAGGGTATGTACATCCAAATTGGAGGAAAGGTTTAGGAATCACAGCTCTTAAAGAGTAGCCATCCCCCCTTTTTCCAGGGACCAAAATTAACTGGACAAATGAATATAATCATAAATAAGATGTTCATTTTTAATTTTTGTTTTGTTGAGAATCCTTTACTGGCAATGACTGCCTGAAGTCTGGAACCCCTGGACATTACCAAAGACCAGGATTCCTCCTGATGCATTGCCAGGCTCTAACTGTAGCTGTCTTCAGTTGTTCTTTGTTTGTGGGTCTTTCTGCCTTTAGTTTTGTCTTCAGCAAGTGAAATGCATGCTCAATTGGGCTGAGATCAGGTGATTGTCTCGCCCATTGCAGAATATTCCACTTCTTTTCCTTCAAAAGTTCATGGGTTGCTTTTGCAGTGTGTTTTGGATCATTGTCCATCTGTACTGTGAAGCATCGTCCAATCAACTTTGCTGCATTTGGTTGAATTTGGGCTGACAGTATATCTCTAAACACTGCAGAATTCATCCGGCTGCTTCTGTCTTCTGTTACATCATCAATAAACACCAATGACCCAGTGCCACTGAAAGCCATGCATGCCCAATGCCATCACACTAGCTCCACCATGTTTTACATATGAAGTTGTGTGCTTTGGATCATGAGCTGTTCCAAACCTTCTGCACACTTTTTTTTTTCTTCCCGTCATTCTGATACAGATTAATCTTAGTTTCATCCGTCCAAAGAATGCTTTTCCAGAACTGGTCTGACTTTTTTAGATGTTTTTTGGCAAAGTCTAATCTGGCTTTTCTATTCTTCAGGCTTATGAATGGTTTGCACCTTGTGGTGAACCCTCTGTGTTTGCTCTCATGAAGTCTTCTTTTGATTGTAGACTTTGACAATGATACGCCCATCTCCTGGAGAGTGTCCTTCACTTGTCTGGATGTTGTGAATTGGTTTTTCTTTACCATAGAGAGGATCCTGCAGTCATCCACCACTGTTGTCTTCCAAGGACGTCCATGCTTTTGTATGTTGCTGAGCTCACAAGTGTGATCTTCTTTCCTTAGAATGTACCAAATTATTGATTTGGCCACTTCTAATTTTGCTGCTATCTTTCTGATGGATTTGTTTCGTTTTTGAAGCCTTACAAAGGCCTGTTTCACTTGCATGGACAGCTCCTTTGAACACATGATGTAGGTTCACAGCAATAGATTCCAAATGCAGAATACCACACTTAGAATCAACTCCAGACCTTTTAACTGCTTAATTGATGAAGAAATAATGGAATAGCCCACACCTGGCCATGAAACAGCTTTTGATTCAATTGTCCAAGTACTTTTGGTCCCTTGAAAAAGAGGGGATGGCTACTCTTAAGAGCTATAATTCCTAAACCCTTCCTCCAATTTGGTTGTACATACCCTCAAATTAAACCAGAGAGTGTGCACTTTCAGCCCATATCCATTATATAACTACAGCTTGAATATGTTTTGTAAATACCTTAAAAAAATCTAAAATTGTGCCTGAGTCCAAATATATACAGACCTAACTGTGTGTGTATAAACAGTATGCCTGTCATTCGGCATCATGTAGTGGAGTTGGAGTTGTTGAATACGTTTAGGGCTTGTTCACAGCATCTCCACTGAGCTGTGTAGTTCAACATAAGGGGACATAGGAAACAATTTGTTTTCTATGGTACCTGTTCACACTATAATGATGTATTGAGGAGCGACACATAAAAATACAGCATGTTTGTATTTTTATGTAGTGCTCTCACGGCACGCCACCACACCACACTGCCACATGCTGCAGTGTATAAACTTGAGTGAAGTGTCATTCTGTAATGTTTTTAATAAAGTTAGACTAAAAAAGAGAAAAAGTAAACCGTGAGAAGTGTTGTTACTGCCCCTACACAACTTGCATGTGTTTTAGCACAAAGGCTGGTGTGAACAAGCACTAAAGGTAATATGCTACTTTTCCATAACAAGAAATGTAGGTGAATTTGCCTATAATAAATAAAAATATATATATATATATAAATATATATATTGTGGCAGTGTGGTATCCTGCCATGCTGAAAATCAAGGTTATAACCCAGGATTCTCAACTATACAGGTTGAGGGGCTCCAGGCAGTTCTCTTAACCTCCCTGGCGGTATTCCCGAGTGTAGCTCGGGGTAAAGTTTGAACAACACAAACGGTAACCCCGAGCTACACTCGGGAATACCTTGCAGCGCTGCTCCGGGATCTCTTCTCCACTTACCTTGTCCTTAGCTCCCACGATGTACCTCCTGCAGTGTCCCTGGCAATGTCCTCCGGAGTTCCATTCCCCACGACGTTGGGACGTACGGGGGACGGAACTGGCAGGAAATTTTAAAGTTGTAAAAGTGACATTCACTAAATTCACTAAAATCACATAGTAAAACATTACTGTATCAAACCATTTCACATACATTTTGTCCCGAGTGCTTTGTCCTGTGCCCTGCCTGCATTTTTACTGTTCTTTCTGCCTGGAAACTGAGGCGTCCAAAAAACGTCTCTTTAGGTCAAAATCGGTTTTAGACCAGCTTGAGAACAGCGATAGTAAATCAGAACCACTTGCAGAATTGAGTGATAATGATTTGTGGGGAAATTCGTCATCAGACACTGAAAACGATTTTGCAACTTTGCTCAGTGATGTGCGAACTTAGCGCTATATTTCAAATTTCAGTGTTTTTTGTTTGATAATATTATTGAATTAAATTTATTATTATATTATTTTTTTAATGATTATTTATTAAATTCTAATTTATGATTTTGTGTTTCAAATTTTAGCATACCAGGGATGTTTACTAGACTCTTGTTCGGACAGATTTCAGTGAGTTATTCCTAGAAATTACAGGCCTACAATAAAAAAACATTTCCATGCAAAAAAATGTACCGCTTTGAGCACAGAAATATGGACATAATCAGACTGCTAGGGAGGCTATTGCAGAGGAAACTGGTTTGTCAGTTTCCTCATTGGTTCGTAAATCCCGTTTTGGGACCTGTGGCATGGAGATTTCTAAGTGATTTGGGAGGGATGAAATCTCCAATTCTGGGACCATGTTTTGTGAACATCCAGCACACTGATTACACAGGTGTGTGCAGGCCTTTTTGTAGAGGCCTAACCATGGTTCAGGGCTCCACCCCGGCAGACAGGAGATCATTGCCCAGGAGTCAGGAGAGCTCCACCTAGGAGAGGTGGAAGCCAGAGCAGCAAGGGGCTGTATACCTGAGAGAGCCAGGAGACTGAATATTTGTTTCATTTGTTGTGATGGTGGATACCCCTGCGTGGGAAACATATGTTATGGAATTTTCTTTAAATAAAATTGGGCTAAAAGGCCCTTAAAAAAGAAGAGAGTAGCTGTGTGCTGTAAAAGCTCTACACTTTCTGCTAGTTCTCACTATATATATATATATATATATATATTTATATATAATATTTTTATTTTTTTTAATAAGACTACCAGATTACAATATAAAAGAGTTAGAGGTATATATTTTCAGCTCCAAACAGGCAATTTTAATGCTATCCCTTGTCTGTTTATCATGAATGTTGCTTATGAAAAGCAGAGTAGAGGGAAAGAATGTGTTCTTTTAATGTGGATATTTCAGAAATAGAGAAGCATTGTGTTTGACGCAGACACAACTTAGTTCCTATATACAGAGGTCTGGGCCTGCCCTTCTCTTTACTTGTCTGTCACAACCTCAGCTGTTCTGCTCGCTCTGCTGCTGGCACTGCCAGTACTCTGAAGCCGGAGTGTCAGACGATGCTGTCGCCAGTACTGGTGGCAGACACCTCTGGCGACAGGGACAAGGCAGGAAGTGGTTCAGAGGAGTAGAGAAAGGTTCTTCTTGTACTGCCACTCCCAAAGCCTTGCCTGAAATCCCTCTGTGTGTTCAAGCTTAATTAAAGCTGCATTGCAGGGCTGTATCAGTGAAACAGAAACTATCTGCTCTCCACTGCATTCTGACAACTTCCTTGATGACAGAAGGAGTGAACTATGCATTGTTATGAGAGCATACTCTTCATACTAGATTGATGAGATTGGAGGATTTGTCATTTCCAACAAAAGAACCCTTCCACTTTCTGCTTCTTGTGGTCATTTGCTTAGGGGCTTTGTAATTGCAGGCTACTGGATGTTCGGAACTTCTTGACATTTTTGGCAAGACACAGGTTTGGCCTGAAAACCCCTCTGACTGCAATGGTTTTGCAATGCCGAGACTGCTTAGCCCTTGCAGCCTTGGAACTGATTTTATATATAGCAAGAGAGCAATCAGCACAACAGAAAGGTTTCCGCTTTCTTCTTAATCCCTGAAGGCCTCAAGCATACAGGGTGTCTGTTCATCCCATTTGAATGTAAGAACTTCTGGCAGTGAAAATGCTGCTTAGAAACACAGTAAAAGCTGTGTATTACACATGCATTTATGCCTGGCAAGTGTTTGAGCGTTGATGCATTTCATTGGCCAGAATAATAATTTATTCTGGTCTTTGGAATGAAATAAAGTGGTTTTGAAGGCTGAAGGCTTTTTACCTTCATACATTCTATACGTGATGGTAAAAGACCTTCAATGTACAGCTCCCCTCTCAGCCCCCCTTATACTCAACTGAGCACGATCCAGCAATATGCCAGAGAGCAGAAGCTATCCCGGGTCTCTCCCTCTCTTCTCACTGGCTGAGACACAGCATTGGGAGCCATTGGCTCCCGCTGCTGTCAATCACAGCCAGTGAGGAGAAAGAAGGGGGCAGGGCCGAGATGCGCTCTGCATGTGCCATAGACCAGCCTTTCTCAACCAGGGTGCCTTGAGGACTCTTCAGGGGTGCCTTGAGGACTCTTCAGGGGTGCCTTGAGGACTCTTCAGGGGTGCCTTGGCAAAAATTGCATAAAAAACTTGTATACAAGCCATCGGGTGGAATAAATCTGCCTTTTAGTTACACAAAGCCACCAGTTTTTCACTATGCACCATTACAACCCTCTAGCCACCAGCATCCTGACAACCTATGACATTGTCAGTTGAAAGGAGGATGTCAGCTGCCTGCACAGCATCCTAGTTTGACCCTCCCCTGCCCCTCTCCATCAGTGCTGGGGTCACATTAGCTCAGCAATGGAGAAAAACTGAGGGAGAGGAGAAACACTGGAATACTAGTCAGTACCAGTGTGCAAAAGTGTATTTGCTTTGGAAGAATAAATCACCTCTAATGTTGGGTGTCCTACATGTGTGGATGTTGCTGCGTTATATAAAACTATTAGAATAGTTTTTCACATTTTAGAATGCGGTGCCTTAAGACTGTCCATAATTTTAAAAGGTGCCTCAGGACTGTCCATAATTTTAGAGGGTGCCTTGACTGAAAAAAGGTTGAGAAACACTGTCATAGACACACAAAGGTGGCTCGGAAGCGAGCATGCATGAGCACGCCCAGAGCAAGCTACTTGCTCAGGAGGTGCTCAGCAGGGGGTAGGAGCCAGGAGCTCCAGTGGGGGACCTGAGGAGGATCAGGGCTACCCTGTGCAAAACCACTGCACAGAGCAGGTAAGTATGACGTGTATTATTTTAAAAATAAAAAATCTCAACCTGTACAAACAGTTTAATATCTAGCGTTTAGGTTTAGTTAAATGCGTTTAGGCTCATCTAGCATTTTTTATGCTCTTAAGCTCCTCTCCTGAATGTGCCTTTGGTGGGTTTTTCGAGCCTGTAAATGCTCCTCTTCTAATATGCCTGTTAATGCCTACGTGAACATAAAACACATAGGCTTACATGGAGATGCTTTTTATAGGCTAAAAAAAAAAATGCAAAATGCCTTCAATTTTTAGGTGTGGGTTACTAAACCCACAACAGTAAAATCAGTCTGCATATGCAGTAAAGCATGCTGGTTATACTCACTGTGGAACCCAAGGGGTTAATCCTCTGTTTTGCATAAAAGGGCCGTTTGATCCTTTCTTCTCTGTTTCTCCCCTTTTTCAACCAACTCTTATCTCTAGACTGAACCATAGGCATGCACATGCTCAGTTTGGTGTGTATTGGTAAAGAGGTTTTTTTTTTTTTCTTGGGAGAGTGCAAGTGATCAGCACAGGGCCAATCAGCACTGTCCAGACAGAGGTCAGGGGATTTGCACCCTCCTGGAGCAGAAATAAAACTCCCTACAAGCTTTAGCTAGTGGTGGGCTGGACACAGATATAAGTCACAAGACTGCTGATGAGAAAAGGTATTTAGCAGTTTATATTTACTAAAATAATTGCACTTCCATGTTGTGTGTACTGTGGGGGATCAGATATAGTGAATGCAGGGCCCTGGGTTTAGTAACACTTTAAATACTACTCAGTTCATACAATGTATGTGCACACAATGTAGTTAGCTTCTCCAGTACGACATTTAAGGTCATAAGGTTCCAATCCCCAATGCCAGAATGCATTATTCTTAACCTTCTTGAATGTAGAGTTTAAAGGGACAAAGCAATACCTTTCTGGAAATATTTTAAATTCTTAAAAAAAAAAAAAAAAAGAGACCATCATGCTATATTTTTTTTAAAATACATCTGTCTGGAGAGAAATATGTAGTCTTGCCTCCTTTAGAAAAAACAGCCTGGTTATCTCTGGTTTCAATAAATTCTGAGTTACTGACCAAGAATAAATATGCTTCAAAACGCTCCCTATACTTACCTCTTCTCTATTGTCCGATGTCCTTGAGGCTTCCCTCGCCAGCATCTTCTTGACTGACAGTCTTTGGGCACCTTCATTGGCTGGTGCAAGATGACATAACCTGGCACACAGGGACCATGCTGGTGATGTAAGCTGAGCTGCGCGGCTCAGTCTAAATGCCGCAGAAAGCTGCAAGCAGGCAGGTAGGTGTATTTTATTGCACAAGAGCGACTGCATGTTTCTACTATACCAGACTACCAGCTTACAAATTTTAGGAAAATGCCTTCAGTTCCGCTTTAAGCCCTAATTCACACTAGAACATGGTGGGAAAACCCATATTCCATGCGCGTTTACCAAACAGTGTTCAAAACGCACTATCCTTACAATCTGCAATGGGTGTCAGTGCAATGTTAACAACACCCCAAACACTGTGTGTTTGCCTGCAGCGGATCGCATGGTACAAAGCTACCATGCAATACGGTTGCAGTGCATTACAAAAAGTAGTGCATGCACTACTTTGGTGCGATGCATTGCAATTTGAGCTCATTCAAAAATGAATAGGCTCAAATTGCACCACTCTGAATCTTATGTGAATTGCACAGGGATGCGCAATTCATAGGATTCATGGTGTAAACCTAGGCTAATTGGAGTGAACTCCTGATCTGTGTACTAGTTCTAGGTCAGTGGTTTAGAAAGTACTGAAGCATTGGTAACCTATACATTTAGCGTGTGATGTTAAGAGTAGAAGGAAAGGCTAAAATCATCAAGGTCTAAAACGTTGCATCCCCTCCCTGCCCATATACATGCCACATGCAGTTTGTAAGAAATCATAGTAAAGCTCCAGCTCCCGTGTCCATGAGTGGTTCAACGGTAGGGATGAACTCCACAGAGCTTGCAATGTTACCCGCCGGCTTCCATTGCTCCCCTGTTGTTGGCAGGGGAGAGGATTCCTCCCACTAGCCACTCATTGACACATAGGACGGGAACTCTATTACCACATGACTGCTCCAAAATAATTATTTACACTGCGATTTTTTTTTTTTTTTTACAAATGTATACAGCATGTATACAGGAAGGGGAAAGGAATTGTTTCAAACCCTGGTTATGCTATCCTTACCTTCTACTTTATCTAATAAAAATGTGGGTCTTTTTACAGACTTAAGCTGGCCACAGATGGGTAGAATTTCCAAAGACAATTCTTAGGAAAATAATGTTAAAAAAAAAAAAAAAAAATCTAATCATTAGTGGGTCAAATCGATGTTTTGTTTTCGACCACAGTGATAAAAAAAATTCAAAAGGAGAAGGAAGGAAAATTTTTCTTGCACAAACAAATTTCTAACAGCATATGTGATTTTCATTCAGTCCTAAATCAAATGGTAAAAGCAAATTAAATCTTTCAAACAACATTCAAATGTTCTAAGAATTTTTTTCCAAATTTCCCTAAAACTTTTCCTAAGGATTTTTGTTTGAAATTTTATCCTTCAATGGCCAGCTTTACTCATTATTATTATTATTATATTATTTTTAATATAGGATTTATATTGTGCCAACAGTTTGCACAGCGCTTTACAAAATGAAGGTGGACATTACAGTTACAATACAATTTGGTACAAAAGGAAACAGAGGGCCCTGCTTGTTAGAGTTTATAATCTAGGAGATAAAATACATCTTAAAGCATCATATTAAACAAGTTAGTCCTCATGCACACTTGACGTTTTTACAGCGGCTGTTTTTGGCTTTTGATGTTTTTTTCTACAGCTAGTAAACCCCCAGCATGTTATCCTATGTGTCCATGTACACATAGACTGGAATCAACATTTTTTGGCTGGAAAAAAAACCCTAGAATTAGTGGGTTTCTAGAGGAGTTTTAGCTGTAAAAATGCTCCAACGCTAAAAAGCGTAGCAAATTATGGTAAAACACCACAAACCAGTGTTTTTGGATATTTAAAAAAATTTGGAGGGGTAAAAAAAACACGTAAAAACGTGGGAAATCGCCACTAAACGCGGCAAAAGGCTAATGCAAAAACGCTAGAAAAAGCTGAAAACCCCAAGTTTTTAACGTGACTTTACACAGCTAACATTACCAGCGTTATCAAGATGTCCAGTGTGCATGAGGACTTAAGTGCATCTACCTCTGTGGCCCAAAACTGAGGTTCATCTAACCCAGCCTTTCTCAACCAGGGTTATTATAAGCGTCCTTCTATGTTAAAAATGGTTGAGAAATGCTGATTTAACCATAAAAAAAAACCCACATTTTGTACATTCCTACTGTTCTGTCTATAATAAACTGGTATTAGCACACTCTACTTAGACTGCTGGAAGCTCAGCTAGCATCATCTGTGGCCCTTATACAAATTTCCTCATAACTCCCACAGGATTGACCTCTTTTCACACTCCGGGGTCTCCTCTCTCTTTCTGCCTCTGTGTTTCCTATCTACTAATAGCTATTGATTAGCGTGAGCTGCTACATTTCCTCATTCCTCACCCCTCCCATGTATTTCATGAGTGCATTACTGACTAGCAGATGCTAATCTAAAATTAACCCCAAAGAACGTAGTTAGCAGAATACAAGGTATACAGAATGTACCTTTACTTTACATAGTAATCCAGCCCAAGGGTAGAACTATAGCCATAGCTGACCATATGGCTCTTATGGATCCCAGAAGCACATAGTATGTGACCATCATGTTCATGGCATAGGGCTAAAGATCATACCTGTACGTTTGAAATGTCTGACACTAGGCTCCCTGCAATACCTACCCTCCTTGTCACAATAGTAAATATAAGCATTTATTTTATTGAACTATTCAATTCAGACAAGTGCTGAACCAGTGGCCCATGACAGCTTCCCATATCAACTATGGCTGCCAAATGTTTCTGGCTTCAAGGGACAGTCCCTGCTTTGAAGAATTGATTTTTCATTTTCAGATTTGCCCTACTCTGCCTTGAAATCTTTCTTTTTGATTTTTGCACTTATCATTGGTTATTGCTCTTTTTTTCCTTTTTAAGTCCATATTGAAAACGTGTTACAACTCAGTACAGTCCTCAGAGACTGCATAGTGTGTGATTGACTTGCATGCACCAACTCAGTGGCTGGAAGATATTTTTGAACTTGGAACTCTGCCTTGTAGCTGAGCAGACCCTCTTTTACTACAAGGTTGCAGCTGAAGAAAACACTGCACCAAAACAACATGCTTGGGGCCAGCGTGCGATATGTTGTTCCTAACTATCAGAATTAGCTACATTTTGTGCAATTTCTCTACTGTCTGGATGCACGGACAATAAAAGATTAGACCACTTCATTTAGATCAAACAAAATACACAAAGGTTATCCTCCTGTATCCTATTACTATGAACATGTCTAGCAAACTGCTGTGTAAAGATAAGCCATAGACAGGGGGTGTTCCATATAGATGACAGCAACTTTGGAACCTGCAACTATCTTTTCCCTGGATGATAGTTGGAAGTGGTAGAGGTGACCACCTCCAATGGCCAGACTGATAGTTGTCTGACAGCAGAAAATCATGTCTGAATCAGATCCATTGCTTTTAACTATTGGGTCTTGTATGGTCATCTTTAGTTGAAAAGAAAAGTACTACCTTGGAGACTGGAGAGCCAGGGGCCCTATAATGATTTATCTATGGCTTCACCACTTATAATTAAGCTCTGATCTAAAAAAAGTCAAGTTTTTGCAATAAATAAGCAGCGTAGGAGACATACAGTTATGAAACTCTGCGTGCAGAGGCCTTCAGAATGCTAAAAAATATACCAACCAATCATTTTGGTAAAAAAAAAAGGAAACTAAAGTGTTGTAAACCTCACACATGAAATATGAACAAAGCATATCCCCCTATAGTGTGTACTTGTTTCTATCCAGAGCACTAAGTGTCATTTCTGTCTGCTGCCTCATTCCTTTGCTATCTGCATGAGTCATTTCTGACAAATTTTCCTGACACCAAGAGAAAAATGGTGACAGGGGAGGGACCTCCAGCAGATTGACAGCCTCAGCTCTGTTCCTGTGAACTGTGTGCAGGGTATGTGTCCTTTTCCACCAATCAGCTCTCAGAACTTTTCTCACTGAGCTCTTCAGTGTCATTTCAGCTCTTTGTCCCCTTTTTTCTAAACTATCAGACAAGCTTTATAAATGTTGGACTTTAAACAGTTGTAGAGAAGAGAATACTACAGATAATCAAATACAACTTATGTTGGAGGATTTGTTCCATCTTTGTGTATCACTTGAGGCTAGTCACTTCACTGTGTAAGTATAAGGGTTTACAACCACTTTAAGCTTTCCTATGCACGTCATGAGAGTGAGCATGGGTTCACACAGTGAAGTGCGGTTTCTGTGCAAATTCTGCACCGCATCACAGTTGCACCCCGTTCATGCAAACCACTGCGGGTGTGTTTGTTAAGTTAACAACACCCCAAAATCGGCCTGAAAAACGCGGTGCTATGTGCAGAATTGGA